GAATATTCAAGAGCTGAAGGTAGCCGGGCTTACTATGACATTGGGACGTCAAACAAGTTTTTAGTAATATTTTTAGCGAGTACATAGTTTTTAATATGGGTTAAACTTAACTAACTACTTTGTAACTAAACAATACATGATTGATAATGGAAAACAGAATGGTAGCGTGCTGTTTCTAAATGGTTTCTTCTTACTTTTCCCAGGACAAAGGTTTTTCGAACCAGTGCGAAAAGCATAAACCTATTTCAAAAAGGTTTTTATATTGAATAAAAATTATTCTATTCTATTCTAAATGCTTCGTTGCCAAAAAACGGTTTATCAAGTTTTACCACTCACAAATCACAATATCAAACACAGCAGCGATAAAATGCTGCTCTTTTCCACCAGAATTATGTGATAATATGTTAAAAGGATAATATTTTAGATACTTTATCATAAAAAAATCAGTTATACATTTCTTTTTGAAGTGTTTTTGAATTTTTTAACAGTGGTAGAGCCACGCGGCAGCTTTTGCTGTCGCACGGATGGGCCGGCTCGAACCGGGGTGGTACCACGACCTCACAGAAAACCAGCGTGAAGTAGAGGTTTACTTCTGCGTTTCGCTTGGTGAGTGCAGGTGGCCGGAGGCCCTTCTTACTGGAAATGAGGCATTCCATCTTAGTCCTCACGGGTGACAACGCATCTACATTTTGATTTGTAATAGAGGATAGATGTAGATGTCTATGGGCCGCAGCAACCACTTACCATCAGGTGGACTGTGTGCTCGTTTGTCACCCTTATCATATAAAAAAAAAAGTATTTTTGAAAAATTTGCAAAAAGAAAAATTCCTATACCATGACTCTACTTATGTAGAGACAAGTAATTGTTTGTAATAGTAATTACGCAATTTAGCGGTTAATACGAGTACACATGTAAGTCTAAGCTATTTGATACAAAATAAATAGTTGCTTTCTAGGTCTTAATTACATATTTGTTAGTACACAAGCCATTGCTTTCGAGTATCCGATAATCATATAAGAGGGAATACATAAAACACCGAATAACTTTTTAACCCCCGACGTATTATAAATTTGACCGCTATGTCTATCTGTCGCTCTGTCTGTCTTTGTGGCACCATAGTTCTTAAACGAGTGAACTGATTTGGATGCGGTTTTGTTTTTATAAAAGCAAGTTTTCTAGTGGTGGTTCTTAGACACGTTTTATCAAAATATGTTCAGCCATTTGAAGTACATCAGCTATTTTTCTACCGACGTCAAAAACAAGCTGGAGGCTCCAACCGTTTTCTGTGATATTTTTTTTCATGTAAAGAAAGGATGATAAACAAGGATACAGAACTCATTGAGGTAACGGTATAAGGTAAAGGTCGGTCAGAGACACCTACACTCTCGATGTAGGTTACAAAATTCAGATGCTGTGGTCTAATCTAATAATTAAAAATTAATTATTGTTTGTTCGTATTTTATGTGCTGCCATACCGTTCATCAGATTGCGGTAAAACTTTGTCAACTTATTACTTGCACTTGTACGTGGTAGAGCCATGCTGCAGCTATATTAATAGTATAGTTGTAGCACGAATGGGTCGGCTTGACCAAGGAAGGACCTATATTGATTCTATATTGAGGATAGATGTGGATGTCTATGGGTCACAGCAACCACTTACCATCAGGTGGACTGTGTGCTCGTTTGTCACCCTATTCTATATAAAAAAAACTTGCACGATGTTTATAGGCATAGTACAATTAACTTACAGTAGGTGGCGCGCGTATCGCGACAAAAAATTTATTTTAAAGTTTTTTTTATAGGAGAGGGGGCAAACGAGCATGCGGCTCACCTGATGATAAGTGACTACCGCCGCCCATGAACAACCGCAACACCAGGGGAATTGCAGATGCGTTGCCGGCCTTTAAAGTTATATATCGTTCAATTTAATGAATGTATTAGCATTTCTAATTAAACAATACAACTGTTCCAAATTTAAAACGACATTTACACAATTATTTCTTCTGTCGCAGTAACGCGCCGGGTACCAGCTAGTTAGTATAAGATAAAATGTGTCAATAAAAATTATAAATTTAGATTTAGTCTAGGGTTCTGACTCAGATCTCTTTTAAAGAGCAGAGGCAAGTGCTAGAAATATCTTAATTGAGTCAAGTCGCTCCTACGCTTCGAAAATTTGCCATTAAACAACTTGAGCTCCAGTCTCCGTCACTGAGCTAAATATTTAAGATCAAAAAGCGTATATTATTAAATGCCAATTGTTCCTCCTGAAATATCTGTGAGTATTGTAATTTGTGCTTGTTGTCAATATTTGGTAAATGTTGAGCCTTCCTTTTAGGGATGAAAATATATATTTTTTTAATTAAAATTAATCAATTCGACGAGTATGTTCTTTAATGTGTGTTCACCGATTTCTCGGCAATGGCTGAACCGATTACAATTATTCTTTTTTTTTAATGAAATAAGCTTCAGAAAAAATTCGACCCCTAAAGGTAAAGCGGTAATAGGTAAGAAAACAGCGAATGATGTACCTTTGTCTTTTGTGTTTTTATTAGGACTTATTTTTAAATCTTTTAATATATCCAAAAATATAAAAAGCGGAAATAGTGGATACATATTTCGTTATAATATAATTTTTTTTTAGTTTTGATATTTTAAGTCAAATCATCAACAGATATAAAATAATTTAAAAGTAATACGCATAAGAAAAAAATGTTAAGTAGTTTCGCATTGTATATTCAAACTGGCAGTCGAGTCTCGAACTCGATTGAATTCGAATATCATATTTGGAACGCTCGTAACCGGTTGCCCTTGTAATAGTTGGCCGATGTTATCAAACGACCAGTCTATTTGACCTGTGTCACAGGGCTTGAAAATCTTTACTTCATCAGCAATAAAAGCCAAGGTAGAGTTGGGATGGTTCTTTTTAAAATGGACGTAAGTCGTCGGCAAGTGCAATGCGAACGAAAATATACGACGCGCCGAGTTGTTTTGCCGCCTTATCACTGATTACACAGACTAAATAACAAACAGTTGTTTACTTTAGTGCCTATTTATTCTGTTCTCCGTGAGAATATTAAGTAAAATATTTGATGGAAAATTTTATGGCCATATTAATTGCGCACGTCATCTTAATTATTCGTATACAAAATTAAAAAGTACTGTTTAAATCATTATTAACGAAAGTAATTTATCTAAAAATGGTACATCCCGCGTACATTTACATTAGAAAGTTTTCATTACATATCCTTACCGTTACTTGGGAGATACTTGCCATAGTTGCCATGCTTGGCAGGCAGGTCGCCAACCGCGGTTTTTAATTTTTAGTAGCTACTGCCCATCTTCTGGTTTGTTTCCCTCTGTTGTTTCCTATGATATCCACGAGACAATATGGAGTAGTAGATATTATTACATCGTCATTTCATGGTTAACGGTAATTGCATAAACAACATTTAAAAGAAATCGTTTAAGTAAATCAATGAATGGCAGCCATTTATGTGTCTTAAAATAACTACACAGCATACTCATGAGTAACTTGCTAACTTGCTATTAACACATACTATAATGTCATATTCATCACCGTCGTCATAATTATTACAGTCCATCACGAAACCGCTGCTGACTATAGGCCTCTTCCATAAATTTAAGAGTAATTATTATGTTATAATAAGTAATTATTATAATTTTTATGTTACGCACGGGACGATACGAGGTAGATAGTTGATTCTCTTACTCCGGCGCTATACGGTAAAACTGTGATATTAGGACAAACTTAAAGGTATTTTTTGTAAAAAGTAGATATTATTTGTTTTGATTTTGATAATATTTATTTACATCTATGATGAGATTTAAATAAGTTTTCTTTTTAATTTATATTGCTGGTTAATTTGTTATGTAACATTGTTAAATGTATACAGTTAAAATGTACGTCCTGTTCTGTCTATCTCTTTTTACACACACATATTCTTAAAACTTAGTTGGACAAATATACCGCACTAGGTTTTAAGTGTTCAAAGCAGGAAAAAGTTGACATGTAAGTAATTTTAATAGCAACAGCTAAACATATTATCTTTATTATATTCCGCACATTTTAGTTTTTAATTTTACGATTATCTCAAATTATTGCTGAGGTATTTTAATGTCTAAACTTTCTTAGTGGAATGAAAATAACATTATGTTTAGAATATAGGTTACTTCATATTCTTTGGTGGGTATCTTATGAGACTCCGAAGGAAAATACGAAGTAAATCTTATGATATTTGTCTGATGAGGGATTAATTACTTCAGAATTTACCAGCCGTAATAACAAAAATATATAATTGCTAAGTATTATTAGGTACATCTTAATGCATAACGTAATACTTGTGTATATGTATATTTTTATATCATATATGTAGATAATTCGTGTCTCGGAAACGGCTGTAACGATTTAAATAAAATTTTGTATTAAGATACTGTTATACTTTCAAAGTTTATCTAGATACGTTACCTTGAGAACATTTCTCTAATGCCTTGGGAAGCTTGGCCTCTCAGGTACTGTGGTAAGATGGTGGTGAATATTCTCGAGTTTGATCGTAAAGTTTCCGACGGTGTACAAGCAATGCAATAATATGATGGAAGGATTTAAATAACGACTTTAAAAAATTTATAATTGAATAGATTATCTCGTCTCTTTTAATCTATGATGTGGGTGTCGCGGGCTGCGCGGGGCGAAGGCGGGCTCTCGGGCCACCAACTTAAAAATGCCGCCGCAGAGCCTCCGAATCGATACGGCGCGCGTCACGTGCCGCCGAGCGCGACCAATCGCCGCGCCGGGCGAGCGCCGGGCCACCGCGGGGGTGGTGCGGCGTGAGGGGGCCGAAGCCCGCTTTCCCCCGTCGCCACTCGGCAGTCCACGAGGATACATCAAGCGGGGCGGACGTTTGCCGCGCGTCAACCGCGAGTACGATTTCACCCGAAAACCGGTCCAATGCGTCGCGTTGTGTTATAGTTCAGTGACGCTATGAGTGCGTGGACCGAGGACGTTTTGTCCTGGCGCGAAGAGAGACTCGGCCTAACCGAGTTGCCGAGCACGACGCGAAGAAAACAACGTAGTGCGCCTTACAGATTACATCGGCCGCATTTGCCTGTTCCACATGTGACGGAACTTCCACCGGAGCCTGTAGGCACTCATATATCGAGGTTGTATCCGGAGTTACTCGCTCTTATATTCGAGCGATTACCTGTAAGGGATAGGGGGCGGGCAGCTCAAGTTTGCCGATCGTGGAGAGATGCTGCTGACCGTCGGTCGGTTTGGCGCGGCGTTGAAGCGGCTCTCCATTTGCGAAGACCAGCTCCAGTGTTATTTGCATCGTTAGCAAGACGTGGAGTGAGAAAACTACAAGTTTTATCACTTAGGCGAGGATTGCGAGATGCCGTCGCTGCGTTACCAGGACTTGAATCACTATCTCTAAGTGGTTGTTATAGTGTTACAGACGCAGCGCTCGCCAGCGCTTTCGCAGCTGAATTGCCAGCATTAAGACGTTTAGATCTCTCACTATGTAAACAGGTGACAGATTCGTCTTTAGGAAGGATAGCTCAATCGTTAAAAAACTTAGAAGAGTTAGAACTTGGGGGCTGCTGCAATGTAACAGATACGGGTTTGCTACTGATTGCGTGGGGATTAAGAAAACTGCGTCGCCTGAATTTGCGATCATGCTGGCACGTTAATGACGCTGGTATCGCTCATCTATGTGGCGGTGGCGAAGCGAGAGGCACTCCCGAGCTAGAGCATTTAGGACTACAAGACTGCCAAAGGTTAACAGACGAAGCTTTAAAACACGCAGCTACAGGTCTTCCCAAATTAAAATCTATCAACTTATCGTTCTGTGTTGCTGTAACGGATGCTGGACTGAGGCATTTAGCTAGACTTCCGCACTTAGAAGATATCAATTTGAGGGCCTGCGACGGAGTTTCTGACACAGGTGTTGCACATTTAGCGGAAAGCGGCCGACTAAAGGCATTGGACGTTTCGTTTTGCGATAAAGTCGGCGACGAGGCGCTATTACATGCAACGTTAGGCCTATCTGGTCTACGTTCCTTGTCGTTAAGCGCTTGCAGAATATCCGATGAAGGTTTAGAAAGAGTAGCCAGACTGTCGCAACTAGAAACCCTGAACATTGGTCAGTGTCATCGTGTAACCGATAGAGGATTACGGGCGCTTGGCGACGGGCTACAGAACTTAAAGGCCATAGATTTATACGGTTGTACGTGTATAACTCCTCAAGGATTGGACCATATCGTAAAATTACCAAGTCTCAGTGTGCTTAACCTCGGTCTGTGGCATGTGCGGTGACCACATACACGCTAGTCTGTGTCAAAACGTTTGTTTGTAAGTGTGTCCGCCATGTTGGAAGTGAAGGAGCCGCCAAGGTTGTATACTGGACAGCGAATAAATTAATTAACCAATTTTTAAGATATTAACAATCGAATTATATTTAGGAAACGGGGTTACTTTCTTATTTTGACGATTTGATTCGAGTTATGTTATTATGTTGGAGTTTGTTGGTTAAATATTCCATTCTGTGATTTTGACTGTCCGTTTTTTTTTAATTTGTTGTGTTTGAGGAAAGTCGCCCCAAGGCCTAGTCGCTACGTTAACTCGGACCTTTTTGATTCTTTTTTCTAGTAATAACATATTAACTATTTTTACATGTAAGTAATGATTATATTGTAATTATTACAAAAGGTCTGGTTTTACACGTAATTGCTCCATTAGTTAGATATTTAGCCATTCTTCTAATTGTTTTTAATTCGACCTTTGCGTCCATTTGATTATAAATAATTTTATAATCATTTATATATAATTATTATTACTTGCATAAATAGAGGGATTGAAGGTTTCCTTAAATATGTAATTAAATCAATGTATTTAAGTTTTGACCCAAAAAATTTAGCTTCTATAAAACATACAGAAAAAGTACATACTTGCTTTGATATACTTGAATAAAGCTACATCCAATACAATTTATTAAAAATAACCTTTTATTACCGATCGTAGAATTAAAATCATCTTTTTCAAATTTTATACTTAAATAAATTGTGACCGTATGAATGTTAGTTAACACCAAAATTAATATTTGACTTAATTTTAGAAAACATCATTTTAGATATCTGAGCATCAATTAATGTAACAGACTTCAAATAGTTTAATAATATACCAAAAATACCAAGTAATCAACGTTATTAATAATTTAAAGATTGAAACAAAATTATGCCTAAAGTAACTTAGGTAGGTACATCGTTATATAACATAATTCTCACATTTTATGAGGTACATCAATTTCTCAAATTATTAAGATCTCTATTATACGTAATTTTTGATGCAATTTTTTTGTTTTTATTGTTTACATATAATTTTATATAAATTTACAAATATTTGCCTTGGGTCGAATTAAAAAGTACGTTAAAATTATCTGTGGATCTGTCAAATTTGATAGCCACGTACATTAAACGAAAATATACTTTACATAGATAAAAAACTTGTTACTGATTGAGTTAAACGATAAAAGGAATACAAACTTAGAATTACTATCAATGTTGCGTTCGGACGAAAATAGATATTACATATTTTTGTTGTCCATCTTGAAGAACCTTTTCTGTCTCTTTCTGCTGCATCATCTCTTTCTATGAACGCATTCCAGACAGTGTCGCAGATAGTTTGAACGTAAAATACGTTGTATACTTCACCAATACGTTGTTTTTGTACAAAACGAATGTAATATAGGAGAAAATGTATTAAAAGTCATTGTTTAAGTTACAAATTATAACGACATTTTATTTACATATTTTACCCTTTACTAAAACCACAAAAACAAGTTTTATAATACGTAACTTTTGCATTTTTTATAACTCTACGTATTGATGTTTTCTTGGGAGGCGACATATTTTAGTAAATGATACTACATTTTTAATTTATAACTTTACGACTTCACTCCATATCCCTAATTAGAAAGAAAGAAATTAAGTTTATTTACCTAACACATTTTAGCAATTTGCTTACAATAATAATACATACATACATACATAAACACTCACGCCTGTCACCCAGAGGGGTAGGCAGAGACTACGGACTTCCATTTGGCGCGATCCTGACACACTTCTCTCGCCTCTTTTACATCCATATATCAACGCATACACGCTCGTCGGTTAAGGGTACTCCTAATCTGGCCCATTTTTAATGTATCGCCGATTTGGTCGATAAACCTTCGTCTAGGGCGTCCCTTCCCGACCCTGCCGTTCACTTCTGCAACATAAATTTGCTTTGTCACTCTTTCCTCGTTCATTCTTTCTACGTGACCAAACCACCGAAGCATTCCTTTCTTAATCCTTGTCACAACGTCATCTTGCAAACCACACTTTTCTCTTAATACTTTACAATAATAACACATTATAAATTTGATAAACGGTTACTAAACAGGTACCCAACTTAGCATCGTCTTGGTACTGACAAAGTACTTTGACGCTGATCTCCTGTCGTTGCCAATAAACATTTAAGAAAAACTAAACTTTATATATAACAATTTTAAGTCAATATGCACACATATAACCTTACACACGTATACATACATATTTATAATAAATTAATATAATAAAAGTAGCAATTACTTAAATAAAATTAAAATAATGATTACGTAATACTCCGTCCTTACAAAACTTATAGATTATTTTTTGTTGTGAAGCAATAAACAACTCAAAAGCCATCTAACATAAGAAACCGTATCCATTATAATTAGTAATAATATATTACACAAAATATAAATAAAAAGTGGACATCTTATTTAAAAAATAACAAAAATTAGTTACTTCTAAATTAAAACGTGTTCGTTGTTTAACAAAAACATTGCAAAGAAATAAATTGGTTTCTTGCTGCAATTCCGCCAAATCTAGTCCGCAAAGTTGTTACCGAACCTGTGTTTTTGCTATAGTTTCGCAATTACCGGCGTTTATTTAAACTCGCATAAATTCGATCGGGCCACCGGTTAAATTCTCAGGATATTATGCAAGCACTATTAAAAAGTTATTACAACCAATAAGCACATAAATTGGAAGCTCTACATTTCTGGACTATACGTTTTTTACTTAAAAATATTTTATGATATAGCCTAAACTAGCTAAAATCTCCTTTTAACGAAATAACTAAAGTCAATTTCACTATAGCACGTGAGGGTAATATGGTCATCCGGTTAATATGGTCACTTTCTTATAACTCAAAAACTACAGCCTAATTTGCATAGAAGACTTTGTGACACGATAGCTCTTCATCAGTCATTCAAATAATAAAGGGTCAAAAGGGCGCCGCTTTATCGACAGTTGATATTATATTAAACATTTTATTCGATTTTGGTATTGGTTAGTCAATACAATTTCTATCCCTTTATCTCGAGCAATTTACTTTTTTATTTTTTAAAATAGCGACGGCGGCAAAGGCAAAGGCAAGCATAGAGCAATAACAGAGAGCATAGAATGCGATTTGCTTTTGTTGTGTAACTCAATAAAAAACGATTCTATTAATTTTTCCACTAGAAAGAAAAGAATCGTACTTACAAGCCGGGCGAATTAACATGACACCTCGCTTTAAAAAACTCACAAAATATTATATAAGTAGATACATGAACACTGCCCAATATCTAATATTTAATATCGCTTAAAAACTATTTTTAGTCTCGCAAAAACTCGAAAAATGATTGGACCGATTTTGATGAAATGTTTTGTGTGTGTTCGAGTGGATCCCTGGATTGTTTAGATTCACAATTGAGCCAAGTAGGTGGAGCTGTTGTCGAGATCGAGAAATCAACCGTGCGATGCCGTTGCGGATCGTGAATATCCAATAAATATTCCATTCTACAACCAAGAAAAAATTTAAAAACAAAACTGCTATTAAGTCATTCGATGTTATTGCGATCAAGTTGAAGATGATTCAGAAGTCCTCAAACGGACAATTAAAATAAATATTTTATTACATACAAAGAAATAACGAAATAAACAATGAAAATGGAATCACAACGGAGTAAAAATATCATAAACTTAAGGAAATTATTAAGAAGAAAAAAGATAAAAAAGTAAAACTAAAATAACTAATAACTATGGACGTAAATGTCTACGGTAATCGCATATAAATATTGTATCTTATTTATATAATACTGAACAATAAACTAAATGCCGCCATTGAAGGACTTGGCCTTTACCGGATTGTCACAAATTAAAAGCTTAATAAGCAGACATCTGATATGCACGTAGCCAATTTTAATAATGAACATTTACTTGAAAAGGCATACTTATTTATCATATTATGTTTTAATCTTAAATTTATTTAACAGAACGATCAATGTAACTGTGTTTTGCATGCCTATTGGTGAAATATGGCACAGTCTACATAATAAAACATGTCGCAAAGATTTACCCATATTTGCAAAATAAAAAGAGCCAAAATATGCACGATCAAAAATATTGTCCACTATAATTTTTTTTCCTTTATTATTATTTATTCAAATAGTATATTCGGGTAATTACGAAAATGAGTACATTCCGATTTATATTGATATTTACTGTAGTTATATGTATATGTTGTTAATAAATATATGTCGCTACGTTTATAGCCTACATATACGTTCCAAACATTTCTTATGAGCAGAGCGGTGTTCACTCTGTAGCTCTAGAACTTGTTGATGAACTTACACGTCCTAGACAGACACTATTCGCAGATCTTATGAAATAAGGTTACATAAATATAACTTTTATTATGGAATAAAGGTGACAAGCGAGCACATAGTCCACCTGATGGTAAGTGGTTGCTGTGGCCCATGGACATCTACATCTAAGCCGTAAGGACTAATATGGAATGCCTCTTTTCCAGTAAAAGGTCTCCGGTGCTCTACACTCACGATACGAAACATAGCAGTGTTAAGCTACTATTTTACGCTGGTAATCTATGAGAGCGTGGTCCTCCCCCGTCAAGCGGACCTTTTCGTGCTACAACTATATAATTAACATAGCTGCAGCATGGCTCTACAACGTTTATGCTAATGGTAGGAAAAAATACAAAATCGTACGACAAAGACGACGAAACGATGGCGTCACTATATGCGATATTTATGAAAAATATCCTTATTTTTCAACGTCTTAAAGAACACAAAAAATACCTCTCTAAGTAGCCACAAAAAAGTTATACTTTTATTTTTATATTTGTAATTGTTCCGAAATTATTTAAAATAATGATTTCAGAACGCACCCAATGACGATTCATTTCACGGATCACTTTGTATTCAAAGACTAAAATTATTCATGTTTTTCTGA